TGAGTCCATCCCTCTCTGATACACGTAGGTCCAGCCCTCTATGACACACGTGAGCCCAGCCCGCTCTGACATGCGTGGGTCCAGCCCTCTCTGACACGTGTGGGGTTGCCATGTGTCGGAGTCAGCTCGTAGACACTGGTTAATCTCATCTGACCTCTAACCTTTATTCTATCCTGCGATCAGGATGAGAGTGCACGCGTGCGTGTGCACACACGTGTGAAATAACACACACTCAGCGCTCTGCACCCATGGCACATTTAAAACCTACCCTCATACTTCACAGCTGTGCCCGCTCTCTGGGAAGCCAGACCAGCGGTCTCACCGATGGCTTTGGGGGAGGGGGGCGCTTTTCAATGGCTTCTCTGTGCTCTCAGTCGGCTGCCTGGGCACCCTGGGCTCTCGGCTGGACACGCCGGCGGACGTCCTCAAGGCTGGCACCAGCTCCCAGGGACAGCCTCATCACCCAGCTCAGACTCACCCACTGGCTCCCAGGGGGCAGAGCCCTGCACCAGCTCCACCAGAAGGCTCAGCACAATCATGGTAAAACGCGGCGAGGAGGGAGGGGGACAGTCCACAGTGGAGAAAGTGGGCGCGATCTGGGTCAAGAAGACACAGAGAGCTCATACAGCTCAGGAGTTAAAATGCTCAAATAGCCCGATTTTCAAAATAGGCAAAAAAATTTAAACAGACATGTTGCCCGCAACAAAGAAATCCAAATGGCCAATAGGCACACAGGAAAGTGCTCATCATCCTCAGGTGTCAGGGAGATCGAGCCCAGCCACAGAAAGGTGCCTCTCCCCGTGGGTGCCCATGAGGACTGGCGATGGGTGGAAACTGAACCCCATGCACTGCTCGTGGCTCAGCTGCGCTGTTGCTGCGGGCAGGTCCCCAGAGGCTCCCCATGGACCCATAACCCTGCACACCAGCAGACCACGTCACTGCCGCCCACTGAATGCCCACTCAAAGGTCACGGCCGTCCACTCCATTCTGACCCAGACTCACTCTCTGCTGTCCACTCCATTCT